GTTTATTGTTGAAATAAAGTGTTTTCACTATGCATAAATATAGTTTATTTGCTGTCAGACCCTCTTCCTTTTTTGTCTCGCAGAGACATTGCAACAGTGAGCTGTTTCTTCACACTGAGGAGCATAAACACACTGTAGGAGTGATTGAGAGTAATCTCGCCTCAGTGACGCACTCTGCTAATGAATGCATGGGTTTGTGAGAGAAAGAAACAAAGAACTAGCCTGGGAAGTCATCCTATATGTGTAAATGTATAGGATGTATACAACCGCTAGAAGAGCTCAGTCATGGGCTGGAATCTATGGTCTCCAAATGTAACTGGACAGAGCTAGGGCCAATCAGAGCAATGAACAAGACAAATTCATTGCTATGATAATCAGTGTTGCCAACTTTGTCGCTGTTCTTAACAACTTTTCAACCCCCCTCAATGACTTATTTTTCCCAAAAAGTGCCTAGCAACAAGCCTCGTTACATTTTTGAGGACCCTTTGCTACTTTCTGTAAAACTATCTTGTAGATATTGCCCGCAGATTAGCAAAAAATAAACCAAAAGAGCCAAATCATTCTTCCGGGATTTAGGAAAGGGAATGATCTGCACATGTGCACGAGGAGCTACATCGACGGACTGACCAATCAAACCTTTCTCGGCCAGACTGACGAGAAAGGTAGAGCTGCAGAACTGGAGACTACCAATTGACACCTGCTGCTGCTGTAGACTCACGCTTCGAGAGACGGTGCAGGCGTCAATCTGCAGTCTCTGGATCTGCAGCCATCAGGCACTTTGGCATTTCCTGCATTTGGCAAATAAAGTCAGTGGGAGATGTTTCAGAAACCAATAAAAAGCCAGATAAGTTAAGCAAATGCATCACAACAGCCCCTATATATATATATATATATATGTATATATATATATATATATATATATATATATATATATATATATATATATATATATATATATATATATATATACACTGTATGTATATATATATACAGTATATATATATATATATATATATATACAGTGTATATATATATATATACATACAGTGTATATATATATATATATATATATATATATATATATATATATATATATATATACATACAGTATATATATATATATATATATATATATATATATATATATATATATATATATATATATAGGGGCTTAAATTCCTGTGCCAGCTGACAACATGAATATCGATGCTTTCACATAACAGGAACCTCTTCCAATATTTTAAACCCCATTTTCTCAATTTTATACTGGCACACTGCAGGATCCTGTAACACATATGGTTCTTACAAATGCTTTGATAGTCTCTGCTTTCAAAGAAAAACCTCCTCATCACAACATGAAAACTTCAGAAGGATAAGTTGGTATGCTCCTGTTGATGTTACCTATATTTGTACTGTGCACATTAAAGCTGCTGTAGGAGTGTTATTTATATTGTTTTCATCTGCAACATGTAGGGATGGGTACCTTTGACATTTGAATCGATCCGGTACTAATTCCCGGTACCTACGAATCAATACCGGTACTTAACGGTACCAATTTTCGATACTTTTGAGTGTTTATTATTTTAATTCTCTTTTATAATTAAATATATATTTTTCTCAATATATAACAGTATTTGATAAATATCACGATAAATAACATTCAACTGTTTGTATTTTAACATTGTCCTTGTAGTTTTATAAGCTGATAATTAAACTGAAGCAAACATCTTTACTGTGAACTAAATTTACTGTGTATCTTCATTCCTTTTGCCGTCTTTTTTCATTTGATTTTTCCTACTGGGAAGTTAGAATTTCCGAGGAAAAAGCGAACGCACCATTAGCTGATAACAACGGTGGCAAAGGAAGCTAACATATCAAGCTAACGTTATCTTTAACAGTTTATTTAGGTGCTGGAGCAGATTAAAACGATGATGCCTCACACTTAAGATTGTTGTCGCTGGTTTCATCTTCACCCAATCACCCGTCGCATTTAGTAAAGTGAAGCCAAACTTTAGAGCATGTTCATGTTTTTCTAGTTGGAAATTCGGAGTTCCGAGGAGAAAGCGAACGCACCTTAGCGAAATGGAAGCTAACATATCAAGGTAACGTTATCTTACATTTTATTTACCTACCGGAGCAGATTAAGATGAAGATGTCTCACTTAGATCGTTGTCTGTTGCTGGTTTCATCATCACCCAGTTACCAATCACATTTAGTGAAGTGGACCCAAGCTTTAGCGTGCGTTCTTTCTACCATGCTGCTCTGTTTACAACTTGCTCGCAGGGACCGACGACATAACGCTCTTGCGCATGCGCAGCTGTCTTGGCAAGTTCCTGTTATGAAGGACAGGTACCGAAACGAGGCATCGTTTGAAATGACATGAATCGGTGCTCGGTCGGTACTATGGAATTCGGTCGGTACATTAAAAAGTACCGAATTCGGTATCCATCCCTAGCAACATGTGACCTCAGACACTTTGGATGACATTGGTTTCCCTTGTTTATGTTGATCTTTATTTGGCGCTTGCCCTTTCCAAATGTGCAGAAGGAAGATCAGCAGCCAAATGATAGTTTAAGTATTCAGTTAACATGTTGATGCCTCCATTCAGCTGAAGAACAATGAGGAGGATTTGTTTTCCTGCACATGTCCTTAACCATTTAAGGAGATGGGCCCTCCTCCTGCAAATCCTAATAACTGTCAGGTGCACCATAGTCTGTACAGTCTATAACCTGAAGCTGCAGCACTACTATTACTGCGATTACTAATGTGATTGCTGCTGGTTACTATAGAATCAATCAGAACAATCAGATTTATTTATAAGGCGCTTTTCAAACAAAAGTGTGACGCAAAGTGCTTTACAGAATTAAAATGAGCCCAAATTCACATTTGACCTGACCCTGTACACGCAGCTGAAAATGGATGGATGGCTGGATGGATATGATTCTTCTTTTGTCACCATAAAGACAGTTCACACTGCTATACACAGCAGTGTATACACAGTAAAAACTAATTTTGTGAGGATTTTCAGGTTAAACATTACAAAATAAAACATTTAATTCACATTCTGTGGATTATTTTATTTTTCTATGTTTCTGGTTCGAGCCTCACGGCAGATCACTCCTTTCCTCTGTGTCCAACTCTGTATTATTTCATGGCATAACTGGGCAATTACAGCCACCCTGATGCACCGCATATATTTGCTCTTCACAACAGGGATTACATGCCCCTCAATGGCTGCACATATTTCTCTGGCAAATGTTTACACAGCAATTGTTCCAGTTTTTTTTTTACTGTTCTCCTTGAAATATATTTTTTCTTTGGTTTTGATCCATTTGGCTAATAAAAATGGTTTCACTCAGCTTTTTTTAATAGTCCAGGGTAAATTTCCTCAAACTATTGCCCTACACATGCCAAGAAACATATTTGAAGTAGCAGATTTGAGCTGAAACATGACTGGCTTTTTTGACTGCCTTGATCACAGATTATTTATGAATCTTGAAGGATCATTATTCATTCTAATGACAAAACACATTTAACTTTGTTGCTTTTGTAGAAATCTGCAAAAAACAGCAACCGATAACTAAAACAGATGTTTTAAAGTGAAAGTCCCATTAGTCAGTTAGTGAAATTACATAAAAGCATTTGACCCATCCCTGTGGGGAGTGGTGAGCTGCAGCAGTGGTTGCACTCGGGAACTATCTGGTGGTTTAACCCCCAATCCAACCCCTTAAAGCAGAGTGTCAAGCAGGGAGGCACTGGGTCCCATTTTTAAAGTCTTTGGTATGACCCGACAGGATTTGAACCCTGATCTCCTGATTAGTGTATTTCAGGGAACTCGGGATTCATTTAGTGACTGTTGCATTAGACAAAAGGAGTATTTTTGACAACCAGGCACACATTTTACCTTTTTAGCACCCTGTGACTGTAAAATTCAATCACAAAATTTTTATCATGTACTGGGTGCAGCTCACACACATCTCATTTGTTTGGAATTCACATAAACTGTAGGTGCGCAGCTGGAAAAGCCATTAATCCAACCACAAAAAACACAGAACAAAGACAAAATGAAGATCCAGACCTCAATGTTAACTTGGAAATTCCTGGGAAAAAAATATAATGAAACTCTGGTAATGAGTTCACAATGTGCACAAGCTCAGGTAGAAAATGTTTTCCATCTGAAAATTTAAAGACAGAATTGTGCATAAATGTAGATGAAAAATCAAAAACTGCAAGGGAACATTGTAGCCTAATTACTTGAGATGAAATATACTTAATTCTTCATTATTAAACACGTAATAACTTTGCAGGGAAACCAGTTGCCATTTCACAGTTATCCACTGTAATTTTTACTGGCATTTTTACAGCGGAGGTGATCAATCTAAAAGTCAACTTATAAATCTTTAAGCACATCAAAGTTCAGAGTGCTAACTCCTCTGCTTTTGAGGCAATATTTTCATACTAAGCTTTGTGACTAAATCAAAAAAGATGCTGTAAAAAGAAGCCAATCAAAAAGTAGCTGGATAAACAGTAAAAGCAAAAATGGGCTAAATTCTCCCTTTATGTGGAAGTAAACAAAACAGGAACAAGGAGATCCTGTGAAGCTTCCACCGGTGCAGAACAATGTGGTTGTAGTGACGCAAGCTGGCATTTTTTCTTATTTATTATTATTATTTTTTGTTAGTTGTAATTATCTGAATAGAAATTGCTCAAATTATTAGACAAAGCTATCACAGCCAGCTCAGTTAATTACAATCAAGCCTCTGTCTCATAGTTGTGATGGGCTGAGGCTCAAAGCCAACCAGGTGTCAGACAGCAGCAATAAACTCATTTACTTCATTTCCTATTTACAGATTAATTAATAATTTAATAAAATCATTTATTTGTTTCTATTTTGGGGCATCTTTGCTTTCATTAATGTTACAACAGGGGAAACCAACATAGCATGAGATGTTTCTGCTCATGAATGAAAGCTTTTACAGAGCACAAAGGCTTATAATTACCTGCTCCATCCAAAGAGAGAAGGGGCGCTGCCAGGAGTCCTTCTTCTCCAGATGCAGGTATGTGTTGAAGAGGATGAGAAAAATGTAGCGCTCCAGGTACTGCAGACTCCTGAGCAGCTGCTGCTGACACGCCTTCTCTGTCTTCTCATGTTTGATCTGAGAAAAACGCACCAGTGCTCAGTTCTCAAAGGAGAAAAACATATTTTGCAAAATACTTCATGCAGACATGTTCCTTGTATCTCTGAGTGCCTCTGGTGTGTTTGAATCAAGCTGGGCTAACTTTAATCTGTCTTCAACGAGTCATTTGTGGTGGTTTTTAATTGATATTGAAACTTAAGATCATTTAAGGAACGCTCATGTTGAGTAAAGACACAATCCGACACAAAGAACAGTCAACATAAATATAAGTAGTTTTGGTTTATTTTACCTAAGGGGGTCTATTTCTGAGTCATTTAAGATTACGCAACTACTCTCAACCCATTACTTACATATTTAGCTTTTACACACCATAGGCTTACAAAAAATAAGCACATCAAAGTTATTAAAATAAAGAGATTTTCTGGAGGATCATGATGTAGGGGGACAATTTTTCTTGTGAACGCTCTCTGTTGATCATTGATCAGTATTTGTTAAAAACGTCTATCTGGAGGGGGAGTTTAGCCGGGCGTACACGGAGCAATTTTTGGCCTATTTTGAGCCGACTTTCCTTTTGTGCGAGCATCTTGGAGGTTGGGGCGAGTTTTGTGTCATGTATTATACTGGGATAAGCGATTAACACCTCACAACCAGATCCAAATCAGCAGTCATGTCAGTCACAATCACAGTGACAGTCACAATCTGTCACACAGATATCACACGTTTGATGTTCTGCTCGTCCCTCGAGAAGGTATCGTACTGTGTAAGACGCCACCACTGCCTGGTGGTGGATCACGTAACCAAATAAGACGCAGCAGCAGCAACCTTTTAGGTTTTGTAAGACAGGTAGACATTTTGATTCTAAGGATAATTTTGTCTAGTTCCGTCTCATCAACAAGAACTCAAGCACATCTCGTCATGTTTTGGTCATCAAAGAGCTTTTTTTTTAGCTTGTCAGCATCTGGTTTTTGTCATAAGAAAAAGGAGAGACAATGAAACCATTTAGTCATCATTATTAATGACACTGACATGTAGTAATTTGATAAGTAGATAAATTAGTTTCACTTTAATATTGAGTTGTTGATAATTGAAATAGCAGCTTAAGAGTTTTAAAGAGCTGACTGTATCTAAGTCACCATTAGCATTGTTAGCTCAATGTTAGCCTCTAGCCTGCTTCACCCAATATTTGGCGTAAAACAAAAAGATGCAGTGGCTTCTTAGGGGAATAAGAAATAACGTCTGGGTCACTCCTGTTGCTGGCTTAGGGTCTTTACAAAATGCTTTTGCCTGCCGGTGTGGAATCACAAATGCAGTCCAGCGGAGCCATCGCGGGCTCACAGATTATCAACAAAGACTACGCCCCCCTTTCCCTTTTTTTAAAGGAGAAAAACTGACAACCCCCCAGCCAGCTGAGAAGAAAATGTAACCTTTCTTACAACGTGACTGAGACAGGCGCCTGTTTGTGATAATTTCACTTAAAAATTCTTACATATTTTACCTTTAATCTGTCCTATTCATTCCTGACCGCGTGACTCAGACCCTTTAATACTTTGTGTGTTACTATTGTGTGTGTGATCAGTTAACTGACTTCAAGCTGGGTTTTATATGGCTGCTATACACTGCACATGCAGACCCGCTTCAATCATCATATTCTTTCATCTTTTTGCCCTTTCATCTGCTGACAAAGCCCATCATCAGATATCAGTGTTGACATTTGGAAGGAGCCCAATTGGTAAGCCATCAAACATAAAACATCACCTGCAGCACAAACAGGCTTTCACCATTGTTGTTAGCTCCCTGCGCATCCCCAGACCCCTTAAACTCCCCTTTTTAAAACAAAAACTATATTTAAGTGGTTGTCCTTGGGATAATTACTAAATAATTCTAATTGTCACTGCATAACCCAGTGGTCAGCAGTGCAAGAGCTGTGCAATTGTCAAAAGTACAAGATGCTTCAATAATTCCCCTCATTGTCATGTACGAGGTGAGACATTAACACTTACACACAAAAAAAATCCAGATTCTACAAAAGAAAGGGAACAATCTTTCAAACTCTACTCTGAATAAAATCTATTAAATTTCATTCTACATAAAAAAAATTCCTTATATGCTTACTTTTTATTGCAAAATTTCCAAATAACTCCACTCCTGAAACCAGCTGGCAGTAGTTCAACACACAGAGTACAATGACGATCGTTCCTAAATACAGTGAGAACCACAACATGCCAATTTCACAATGTCAGGTTAGAGACTGGGCTGCTCTTTGATGACAGGTTCTGTAAAGCACCAAGGTGATCGTAAACAGGCTTTCATTTCTGAGCTGACTCACTGTGTTTCTGGTCTCTTCTGTATCTGGATTGTTTGGAGCCTTGAGCACACTAAGTTATGAATGTAGACGTGCAGCTGTGTGGAAAATGGAGGTATTACCAAAGTGAAAAACACGTTGGATTGGGGAAAGTAAAGCACCCCTGAAGTGTGTTTGGGCACAAACTGGCTGCAGTTCCTTTTCACTTTTGGCCAGAACCGACAGTTCGGCTCAATAACTTGCATTTTGACTGCTTGATGTTTAAGAATGAAACAGAAGTTTTTCACAGAATAGAGTTTTAAAGTGAATGAGATCAAACTTTTTTTTTTTAATATCAAAACAAATTTTAACAAAATCATTGCAGAAGTGAATGACATGGCAGAGAGAAGATGAAGATGTTTCCTGTTCATTCCCAAACTGCAGAAGCTAGATCCCAATTTTCCAAGCAGCTGTTACAATGTGGGGCAGCTACAACACCTACGGACATGAGCGTACACACTGCCTGTTGTTCCTAGGAGCACAGGAAAAACCTTTTCAACAGACTCATAACATTTCTGATTTCTTATAGTAAACACTTTAGTGAAAGGTTAGGTAAAAATGAGTGAACCTTACCACCTTTTGCACCCTGCACCCCAAGAAGCATTTCATCTTTTCACTTAAAAAGAAAATTCACTGTTTTGAATCGGGGCAGCAAGCTGTGCAAAAGGCACAGATCTCTCTCTCACACACTCACGCATGCGCACACATGCACGCGCACACACACGTACTTTTACACACATGAAAAGAGATCTGTTAGCAGAGATTACATAATTCACACCTCCACAATCTGCTGAACTCTAAATCTGAGGCTGCCATCTGTCTGCCTACTTAGACTGAGCCATATGTGAGGTTTCTCTTCCAAATGTTCCTGTCAGAGAAGATGGTTTACATCTGTAAGTTTCTGGGACAATCCTACAATCTTCTGCTATGTAAACACTTCCCAGAATTAGGTTTCACACAGAAAATGCCCTGAATTATTAGGTACTGGGAACCAGTTCAGTAGCTTCTTGTGATCTTTTAAAGATTTAGGGGAAAGTTTCAACTAAGTTTCAAATGACAGGAAAAGCTGGTCTATAAAATGGAGGCAACTGGTCAGAGAGCAGCGGAGATGTGATAATAACATCCTGGGTGAAAGGAGTCTGACCACCACTGAGGGTTCAGAAATGTGCCTCAGGTGAGCAGATCTCTGAGCATGGATTTGAGACAGCTTCACCGGTAACCAAAATCAGCTGATCCATTCCTCAAGAAAAAAAAAACTGGATTATAAATCTAATTCTAACTAAAAAAAATACAGCAAAACTGGACTTGTGTGTTATTGTTATTTCATCCACTACGAGGCCTAGCGGCAGACCTGAAGTCTAATTAAAGTAATGCAGCTGTGAGCATAAACATGATGACCAGCTTTCCAGTGTGTTGCATCATTTTTTAACTCGAGCTGATTTGCCCTCCAGCCCTTGTTGTCTTTAATGTTTTTTTCCTCCTTTTAAAGGGATCTGTTTTATAGAAAATGCTGCAGGGCTTTCGATTTTAAAGTAAAAATCTCCTCACATGAAACAAAATGTATTTGAGCTGCTAAGTCCAAATAAAACAGCAGGCTTGATGTTTGTTTTCTGAGCGATGAACACATTCCCAGATGAGTGTCTCAGTCTCTCGTCATGGTCAGATAAAGTTTATAATAACCTCCAGATAACAGTACGATATCCAGGTGTGATTTATAGATAAACATCTACATCAAATACACAACTAGCCTCATCTCCATGGTCATCGGGTTTAATAAACTCAACAGTCACTTTATTAGGTATACCGTAGGCCTAATTTATGCATCTGCATCGATACAGAGACACACAACGCCATTATTCGTCCTTGTGAGGGCTCTTCAACATACTTGCAAGGACAGATGGAGTTGAGTCCACTTTTCTAAACATCTGTTGAATAAGACGAAGAACGCAAGCTTGCGATTGGTCAGGACACGTTCGTCAACAGCACTGCCATTGCACTCTTTAAAACATAAAGAAAGCTGAAGATACCTAGTGGCAGATACGGAGCAGCTTAAAGAATACCTAGGTAAGTTTCTTTTCTTATTATTTGATGTATCCTAATGTAAATGCTGCATGACCTGACTTTGACCTGAATGTATGTTTGCACCTTGCCACCGAAACAAATTCCTAGTAGATGCTCCTATCGCCTACATGGCAATAAATCTCATTCTGAAAAACTCTACAAATATGAACATTTTATTCACCCGTGACTGCATGAGTAAAAAGATACACAGCAAGCATGTTATTCGTGGATGGAAATAACCGAAAATGTGGGTTTAGAGGTAGCGAGTGCAATTGTAAGTTTTATCCCTCTATTTGCCCTCTTCGTGCTGCGCTCGTCTCCTCCTCTTGTCCTCTCCCTGACCGGGAACCTCTCGGCAGGAGGGGGTTTACAAACTCTAAAAACTCTGAAACTTTTAATATGAACACACCCATTAGTGTTGCTCAGACTGAAGGTACACATCTCCACTATCTTCTGGTGTAAAGTAGTAACTTCATGAGGGATCATATTAGAAGCTGTGACTCGTTAAACTCAGTAACGACACTTGTCGCAATATTATGACTTTAGCGCTTAAAGGGTTAATATAACAATTTAGGGCCCCAACATTGACCCCTGAGGGACTCCACAAGCATTGTCC